GATAACATCAGCGAAAGTGCCGAAAGCTCCTGTGACGCATCACCAACCAATTGAAGATTAGCATCATCAGACTCACCGCCAGAACCGTCATTGTCATCGATTCCACCAAGCGACAGAGCTCGAAATGCAGCGGAGTTGGCACGGCTTTCACGGGAGCAATCCGCCAAAGTAGTAGAGCGAGGACGGCGACGTTGCGAAAGTAAAAGAACATGTTCACCTACGATTTGCTCTGGCTCTTCAAAAGGACCTACCGAGAAACCTCCAATGGAAGTCCCGTTCACCGTCTCATCGAACAGGTTTCTTCCTTCTCCTCTCGTTTTTCCTCGCTTTATTCCCTCATCATTTCTTGATCTGTTAATTGCGTCAGTTGGTTGTGATTGTGAATGTAGCACTCCATTGATTACTGGCTTTGGGCGGATCTCATCGCAAGCACCCCAATCTCCAAGAGGGCCTTGAACAATGTCATCAGGATTCAATAGAAGGAGGCAATCACTTTTCCCCGATTAAAAAATAAAATAAACTAAGAACCCTAATCTGATTTCAGAAACCAAAACGTCGTGGTACAGTAACTTGCATCAGACGTGGCTCGCCGTTTGCCACATCAAAGAAAATTTAACATCGTTCAATTTTAAGGACTAAAAATAAGAGTTTTAAAGCTAAGAGTACTAAAAGGAACAAAACTTAAATAGGGACTAAATCCAAAATCACGTGATAGTTTAAGGACTAAAAACATATTTAACTTTTTTATTTAATAATGTATTAAATAGTTTATAACACATATATGATATTTTTTTCTTCTTTTTAATATTTTTATTTGTTGTTCATTTTTATCATAGAGTTTTAATGATCTTTTATACCTATTTTCATTTTTTTTAACATGTTCTTATGAATATAATTTTACCACCGCAAATATCTAAATATATTTCATTTATTATAACACAAAAGCGTATTATAATATTTAGTAGTATAAAACAATTTCATTAAAATTTAGAGAAAGAAAATAAAGAGATGTTTAAAATATATTTAAATTTAATTGTTTGAATTTTTTTTTGTAATTTTAAAAAGTATTTTTTTAATTTTATCTACTTTGTTTGGCTAGAAACAAGTGAAACAATTCAATGTTTATATAATTTATAAATGTTTTGATTTTTATAAAATTTTAATTAAGTGTAATTATTTACTATTTTATATAACTATTGACTTTTATTTAATTACTATTTAATATTCTGTTTTGAAATCTATACAATTATATTTTTTTATTAATAGTTGACATTAAAATCGAGAAAATTTCTTTCTAAAATTAAATATTTAATAATATTATATTTCTCTTTTTGTGATATTTATTTTTTAATAAAGTTTATTTAATTGATATTAGAATAATAAAAAAAGGAATACAAACATGGAAACAAATACATCCATTATTCTATGAGAATGGGACAAATTATAACCTCTAACTATAGAGATAGATATAGAAAAAAAAATTACTTCAGAGATACTAATGGAATAATGAAATCTGTATCACCCCGTATGGTTGTCATCTCTATACATGACATACAATAAAGAAAAGAGAAACATATCCATGCTTTAAATTCTATCCTCTTTGAAATATTATTGTAACTTTAACTAAAACAGCAATAAATTAGGAACATTACTTTTGTTATAGCCAAGCAATTTATTTATGTTACATATAATATCGTTAATTATTAGACTGTTTTGAGTGAACTTCTTACTCCATTCTTCTCACAAGAATGGAAATCCTTCATTGGATAAGCAGATATCAGCACATACATCAGTAAAGCAGTGCATTTAAAGCAAAGCACAACATCATAAAATTAACCTCAAATATAAGAGATAAGCATATCTGAACCTCCTACACAAGTCAGGAACAAGCTGTTGCAAAAGTTAATATAGGATCTAGCACAACATACATACAAATTTTAGAATAGAGTCCAATATTATACTTATTATCTGTAGCATGCATAAATATAACATCCAACTCTCTCTCCAAGCTCCNATATATATATATATATATATATATATATATATTGTTTCTGCTGTAATAGGACGAGAACGACACTTGTAATATTGTTGTCTCCGCTGAATGTTTATTCCACTCTTTGCTCTGAACGATTGATCGATATATGGGGTGACCTACAAAATATACTCAAATCAGAATTTTTCTATGTAGGTCTAAAGTAATTCATGAATAAAAGTGTCTTTATCTCGACATTAAACTCTATTAATAGAGTTTATAAGAATTTGAGTAATTAATTTATCTCTTAATAATTATTAATGTAAACTTTAATCACTCATCAATAGTTATTATACTATTAATTGCATTTTAACTCCGCTTAACTGATGTCGGCGGATTGTAAGACTATGCATCGATCATTCGATCTTTTCAATTCAGTACGTCACGGTACCCGATTGGCGACTATAAGCACATAGTAATATATATATATATATATATATATATATATATATATATATATATATCTAAAGTACGTTTTTTCTCATCACAGCCTTGATTGACTATTTCTAATTCCTTTTAATATTTTTATTTATTATTTATTTTTCTTGCACCAAAAATGTGTAGATTCCCAATTCCAAAAATCTTTAGTTTTTATTTTATTTAAAAAAAATATTTTATTAAAATAATTTTCATTATCTCTCACTACTTCAACTGGATTCAAGTTATTTGATATCTAATAATTTTTTCTAGATCTTGAAGGTATTTTTTTTTTCTATTGTACTCTTAATTATACATTTTTTTTATTCGAAAGTTTTTTTTTAGTCCTCTTAGTTTTGAAACTCTTATGTTTAGTTCTTAAAATTGAATGGCGAGTCACGTGTGATACCAGCTTCCTCGTGAATGTGTTCCACGTTACGCTTTTTTTCTAAAATGAGCAGCTACAAACGGTAACCATACTCACCAACGTTGGTCGATTGCAAGTGTGGTCCACCAGCACCGCCACCTCATCCGACAGTGTTGTTTTGTGGTAGAGCTTCGATTTCTCGACCGACAAACTTCTTCCAAACCAGCCTTTGAGAGGGAGCACCAACCTCATTTCCTTGAGAAGTAGGAGCAACCACTCTTCTGGGAGCTTCAATTTCCCGACCGACACACTTCTACAAGAGCACATCCCCCGCACACTGTTCCCTACCAAACGCACAAAAAAGTGAAATACTAAAAATAAAACAAACAGGAAAAACTCTACACAGACAAAAGAGTTCACACTGAAACATCGAGAATGATAACATCAGCGAAAGTGCCGAAAGCTCCTGTGACGCATCACCAACCAATTGAAGATTAGCATCATCAGACTCACCGCCAGAACCGTCATTGTCATCGATTCCACCAAGCGACAGAGCTCGAAATGCAGCGGAGTTGGCACGGCTTTCACGGGAGCAATCCGCCAAAGTAGCAGAGCGAGGACGGCGACGATGCGAAAGTAAAAGAACATGTTCACCTACGATTTGCTCTGGCTCTTCAAAAGGACCTACCGAGAAACCTCCAATGGAAGTCCCGTTCACCGTCTCATCGAACAGGTTTCTTCCTTCTCCTCTCGTCTTTCCTCGCTTTATTCCCTCATCATTTCTTGATCTGTTAATTGCGTCAGTTGGTTGTGATTGTGAATGTAGCACTCCATTGATTACTGGCTTTGGGCGGATCTCATCGCAAGCACCCCAATCTCCAAGAGGGCCTTGAACAATGTCATCAGGATTCAATAGAAGGAGGCAATCACTTTTCCCCGATTAAAAAATAAAATAAACTAAGAACCCTAATCTGATTTCAGAAACCAAAACGTCGTGGTACAGTAACTTGCATCAGACGTGGCTCGCCGTTTGCCACATCAAAGAAAATTTAACATCGTTCAATTTTAAGGACTAAAAATAAGAGTTTTAAAGCTAAGAGTACTAAAAGGAACAAAACTTAAATAGGGACTAAATCCAAAATCACGTGATAGTTTAAGGACTAAAAACATATTTAACTTTTTTATTTAATAATGTATTAAATAGTTTATAACACATATATGATATTTTTTTCTTCTTTTTAATATTTTTATTTGTTGTTCATTTTTATCATAGAGTTTTAATGATCTTTTATACCTATTTTCATTTTTTTTAACATGTTCTTATGAATATAATTTTACCACCGCAAATATCTAAATATATTTCATTTATTATAACACAAAAGCGTATTATAATATTTAGTAGTATAAAACAATTTCATTAAAATTTAGAGAAAGAAAATAAAGAGATGTTTAAAATATATTTAAATTTAATTGTTTGAATTTTTTTTTGTAATTTTAAAAAGTATTTTTTTAATTTTATCTACTTTGTTTGGCTAGAAACAAGTGAAACAATTCAATGTTTATATAATTTATAAATGTTTTGATTTTTATAAAATTTTAATTAAGTGTAATTATTTACTATTTTATATAACTATTGACTTTTATTTAATTACTATTTAATATTCTGTTTTGAAATCTATACAATTATATTTTTTTATTAATAGTTGACATTAAAATCGAGAAAATTTCTTTCTAAAATTAAATATTTAATAATATTATATTTCTCTTTTTGTGATATTTATTTTTTAATAAAGTTTATTTAATTGATATTAGAATAATAAAAAAAGGAATACAAACATGGAAACAAATACATCCATTATTCTATGAGAATGGGACAAATTATAACCTCTAACTATAGAGATAGATATAGAAAAAAAAATTACTTCAGAGATACTAATGGAATAATGAAATCTGTATCACCCCGTATGGTTGTCATCTCTATACATGACATACAATAAAGAAAAGAGAAACATATCCATGCTTTAAATTCTATCCTCTTTGAAATATTATTGTAACTTTAACTAAAACAGCAATAAATTAGGAACATTACTTTTGTTATAGCCAAGCAATTTATTTATGTTACATATAATATCGTTAATTATTAGACTGTTTTGAGTGAACTTCTTACTCCATTCTTCTCACAAGAATGGAAATCCTTCATTGGATAAGCAGATATCAGCACATACATCAGTAAAGCAGTGCATTTAAAGCAAAGCACAACATCATAAAATTAACCTCAAATATAAGAGATAAGCATATCTGAACCTCCTACACAAGTCAGGAACAAGCTGTTGCAAAAGTTAATATAGGATCTAGCACAACATACATACAAATTTTAGAATAGAGTCCAATATTATACTTATTATCTGTAGCATGCATAAATATAACATCCAACTCTCTCTCCAAGCTCCATTCCATCCTTCAACAACATATTCATGATTTCTGCATGATGACAAGAACAGGGTGAGATTTTATCCAAAAAAAGAAAGTAAAAAAATACAAATAAAGAGAGAAATTCCTAGTTACACTTGACAAGAAAAGATAAATATGAAAAAAGTAGTTGTACTTATGCAGAATCTCTAACCTGCATTGGAAGGTACAATTTGAACTCGGGTGGGAGTTCTTCTTCAGAGTAGAGGCGATCAGAGAAGTATATCCTTCTCAGGCGACAGTTTGCATGAACCTGAACTCGCAGCGTCTCCACATAATTAGTACCATATGCTCTCTTGGTGAAATCAGCCAGGTTAAACTGTATTTGATTCCAGCCGTCATCCATTCTTAGTGGCATAGTGCAAATGTACGGCTTTACTCTAGTGACGGCCTATTATGTATAATGACATGAAAATTAGAACGCATGAATCATTTGTAAATCATACAGATTGTATTCCAGTAAAGATATTGAGATCATTTTAGCAAAACAATGTTACAATATTCCATATCTTCCTTTTTCAAGTACCGTAGTATTCCTCAGAGATGACTGTTAGAATAGGCATAGAACAGGGTTTTATTAAAAAGTTGTTGAGTTGATCCTATCTATATGACACCACCAGTTATTACCTACCAATAATGTTAGGTTTCTGAGTTAGAAGCTTAACTTTCTCACAACACTCACTCACGCAAAGGCAATCAAACCAGAGAGAACACAGGAATTGTATGTATTCACTGTAACTTACAACAAAATACAATAACGATTCGGGAGCCTAATCCCCCTCAACAAGGTCCAAGACCTGTTTACATAAAGTAAATGGCTAGCTACTCAACAAAATCACAAAAGGTTTATTTATATTCTCTCTCCCCCTAGCAACCTAACAAACTTTCCTGCCTTTTTATTCATCCTCTACCATTCTGTCTTAGTGTAGATACCGTTTGGCTCCTTCACTCCTATTCCCCTATCGTCTGGCCCTCGATTCCCCCTTTCTACTGTTCGGTTCCCTTACTTTCCACCGTTCTGCTCACCAATGCGACTCACACAACCTACTGCCTTTAACCGTTCAGTTCTCCCCTACCTACTACCGTTCGGCTAGACTCCCTTCCCCCTGCCTCCTACCATTTGGCTCAGCCACTTCCTGCCTTCTATCCTAAACCCAATCTATCCTATCATCCTATATCCTAACAAATAATGACCCAAATGATTAGTCCAATGCTCCCAGGTGAATCCTCTTCATTAAATTCTTTTCAATTATCACTCAAACACTCCTAATAATGACGACACAAATTAGCCCATTGCTATCTAAAAAGGCACTCATTCTACTCGTAATTCACATCCTGTTTACAATTTTCTCAGCTATAGTAGGTTGTCTCCTTGACATTTTTCTTTTCTCTCCTCTCTTCTACAATTTCTAAAAATGTGAATAAAGCATTTGATCATCATGGACAGTGACCATGATTGTTGTGAAGTTTTCTCTATGGTCCTCAAGCAATGTTCACATGGTTACTTTGGAAAATTTAGTCACATTATTCAAAATATGTTTACTTAATAGTGTGCATTGATGATATAGTCAGTATAAGGGAATGACACTACTAGAATTTCAACTAAAGGAACATGCATGCAATCAATTTCAAACCAAGGATCCCAGATGTCTCAAATACTTTTCGGGCATTGAGGTGACACAATCAAAAAAAGGTATTGTAATTTCACAAAGAAAATATGCTCTAGATATCCTAAAAGAAACGAATATGATTGACTATAGATGAATACCAAAATCAAAAATTAATTGCAGAGTACGATGAATATTTTATCTGATCCCAAAAGATATAAAAGACTTGTTGGATCAGTTCATACATATTCTTTATATTGATCATTGCAATGTTGACATCCGTATTCCAAGGAACCTCATAAAAGATCCAAGGCAACGTATGTTATATGAAGATAAAGGAAATTATCAANAAATCCAAAATCACGTGATAGTTTAAGGACTAAAAACATATTTAACTTTTTTATTTAATAATGTATTAAATAGTTTATAACACATATATGATATTTTTTTCTTCTTTTTAATATTTTTATTTGTTGTTCATTTTTATCATAGAGTTTTAATGATCTTTTATACCTATTTTCATTTTTTTTAACATGTTCTTATGAATATAATTTTACCACCGCAAATATCTAAATATATTTCATTTATTATAACACAAAAGCGTATTATAATATTTAGTAGTATAAAACAATTTCATTAAAATTTAGAGAAAGAAAATAAAGAGATGTTTAAAATATATTTAAATTTAATTGTTTGAATTTTTTTTTGTAATTTTAAAAAGTATTTTTTTAATTTTATCTACTTTGTTTGGCTAGAAACAAGTGAAACAATTCAATGTTTATATAATTTATAAATGTTTTGATTTTTATAAAATTTTAATTAAGTGTAATTATTTACTATTTTATATAACTATTGACTTTTATTTAATTACTATTTAATATTCTGTTTTGAAATCTATACAATTATATTTTTTTATTAATAGTTGACATTAAAATCGAGAAAATTTCTTTCTAAAATTAAATATTTAATAATATTATATTTCTCTTTTTGTGATATTTATTTTTTAATAAAGTTTATTTAATTGATATTAGAATAATAAAAAAAGGAATACAAACATGGAAACAAATACATCCATTATTCTATGAGAATGGGACAAATTATAACCTCTAACTATAGAGATAGATATAGAAAAAAAAATTACTTCAGAGATACTAATGGAATAATGAAATCTGTATCACCCCGTATGGTTGTCATCTCTATACATGACATACAATAAAGAAAAGAGAAACATATCCATGCTTTAAATTCTATCCTCTTTGAAATATTATTGTAACTTTAACTAAAACAGCAATAAATTAGGAACATTACTTTTGTTATAGCCAAGCAATTTATTTATGTTACATATAATATCGTTAATTATTAGACTGTTTTGAGTGAACTTCTTACTCCATTCTTCTCACAAGAATGGAAATCCTTCATTGGATAAGCAGATATCAGCACATACATCAGTAAAGCAGTGCATTTAAAGCAAAGCACAACATCATAAAATTAACCTCAAATATAAGAGATAAGCATATCTGAACCTCCTACACAAGTCAGGAACAAGCTGTTGCAAAAGTTAATATAGGATCTAGCACAACATACATACAAATTTTAGAATAGAGTCCAATATTATACTTATTATCTGTAGCATGCATAAATATAACATCCAACTCTCTCTCCAAGCTCCATTCCATCCTTCAACAACATATTCATGATTTCTGCATGATGACAAGAACAGGGTGAGATTTTATCCAAAAAAAGAAAGTAAAAAAATACAAATAAAGAGAGAAATTCCTAGTTACACTTGACAAGAAAAGATAAATATGAAAAAAGTAGTTGTACTTATGCAGAATCTCTAACCTGCATTGGAAGGTACAATTTGAACTCGGGTGGGAGTTCTTCTTCAGAGTAGAGGCGATCAGAGAAGTATATCCTTCTCAGGCGACAGTTTGCATGAACCTGAACTCGCAGCGTCTCCACATAATTAGTACCATATGCTCTCTTGGTGAAATCAGCCAGGTTAAACTGTATTTGATTCCAGCCGTCATCCATTCTTAGTGGCATAGTGCAAATGTACGGCTTTACTCGAGTGACGGCCTATTATGTATAATGACATGAAAATTAGAACGCATGAATCATTTGTAAATCATACAGATTGTATTCCAGTAAAGATATTGAGATCATTTTAGCAAAACAATGTTACAATATTCCATATCTTCCTTTTTCAAGTACCGTAGTATTCCTCAGAGATGACTGTTAGAATAGGCATAGAACAGGGTTTTATTAAAAAGTTGTTGAGTTGATCCTATCTATATGACACCACCAGTTATTACCTACCAATAATGTTAGGTTTCTGAGTTAGAAGCTTAACTTTCTCACAACACTCACTCACGCAAAGGCAATCAAACCAGAGAGAACACAGGAATTGTATGTATTCACTGTAACTTACAACAAAATACAATAACGATTCGGGAGCCTAATCCCCCTCAACAAGGTCCAAGACCTGTTTACATAAAGTAAATGGCTAGCTACTCAACAAAATCACAAAAGGTTTATTTATATTCTCTCTCCCCCTAGCAACCTAACAAACTTTCCTGCCTTTTTATTCATCCTCTACCATTCTGTCTTAGTGTAGATACCGTTTGGCTCCTTCACTCCTATTCCCCTATCGTCTGGCCCTCGATTCCCCCTTTCTACTGTTCGGTTCCCTTACTTTCCACCGTTCTGCTCACCAATGCGACTCACACAACCTACTGCCTTTAACCGTTCAGTTCTCCCCTACCTACTACCGTTCGGCTAGACTCCCTTCCCCCTGCCTCCTACCATTTGGCTCAGCCACTTCCTGCCTTCTATCCTAAACCCAATCTATCCTATCATCCTATATCCTAACAAATAATGACCCAAATGATTAGTCCAATGCTCCCAGGTGAATCCTCTTCATTAAATTCTTTTCAATTATCACTCAAACACTCCTAATAATGACGACACAAATTAGCCCATTGCTATCTAAAAAGGCACTCATTCTACTCGTAATTCACATCCTGTTTACAATTTTCTCAGCTATAGTAGGTTGTCTCCTTGACATTTTTCTTTTCTCTCCTCTCTTCTACAATTTCTAAAAATGTGAATAAAGCATTTGATCATCATGGACAGTGACCATGATTGTTGTGAAGTTTTCTCTATGGTCCTCAAGCAATGTTCACATGGTTACTTTGGAAAATTTAGTCACATTATTCAAAATATGTTTACTTAATAGTGTGCATTGATGATATAGTCAGTATAAGGGAATGACACTACTAGAATTTCAACTAAAGGAACATGCATGCAATCAATTTCAAACCAAGGATCCCAGATGTCTCAAATACTTTTCGGGCATTGAGGTGACACAATCAAAAAAAGGTATTGTAATTTCACAAAGAAAATATGCTCTAGATATCCTAAAAGAAACGAATATGATTGACTATAGATGAATACCAAAATCAAAAATTAATTGCAGAGTACGATGAATATTTTATCTGATCCCAAAAGATATAAAAGACTTGTTGGATCAGTTCATACATATTCTTTATATTGATCATTGCAATGTTGACATCCGTATTCCAAGGAACCTCATAAAAGATCCAAGGCAACGTATGTTATATGAAGATAAAGGAAATTATCAACTTTAGGTATTGTGATGCTGATTAGTTCATACATATTCTTTATATTGATCATTGGAATGTTGACATCCATATTCCAAGGAACCTCAGAAAAGATCCAAGGCAACGTACGTTGTATGAAGATAAAGGAAATTATCAAAATTTTAGGTATTGTGATGCTGATTAGGCAGGATTTCTAATGAATTGATGCTTTACTACAAGATATTGTTTTTTCATTGAAGGAAATATTATCTCCCAGTAAATGCAAGAAACAAAATGTAGTTACACAATCAACTGAGTATAAAGATGATGTTATCTGTGTGTAAAACAACACCTCTAGGAACTTAAATTTTGTAGATTCAGCAAATGAAGTGATAATCAAGCATATGAAGATATATATTAAAAGCACATTTAATCATATAAATATTTTTCTAAGTTTTTAATTGATTAATTAATGTCTCTAATCAAATGAAATAAAAATAATTA